AAAAAGAACTGCAATGTGGAATTCCCCAAACTCACACCATACGTGATCAGCTACAGGAGCTTCACACTGCAGTGCGCAGGCTGTCCTTTTGGCAGAAACAGCAATAAATGCAATTGGAAAAACGGCTGACTCCAGAAACAGCCAAAGAGACTTCCAAAGCAGACTCACAATGTCAATTTCCTTTTCCATTAAGCCAAGATGCTTATGTTTCTTCTGACAAACTTCAGTGCTCCCTTTTAAATATTTTGGTAGATTTAGGGAAGAAGTTAATGAACGAGCTAACACGTTTTTAACATCATGTTGATTTTGATCTACCTTTTCACTAGGCATTAGTTCCACCTATTGGATCATTGACAATGATCCAATACTGAAACTGACAGTAATCTGAATTTTCACTCTGAACTCTTGATTGTTTGACCACCCAAACTCTCCAAACAAATATAAGCCATCTTAGACTGAATGATATAGTTTAAAAAAAGTAAAATAATAATATTTTTTTTAAAAAGGCAGCTAAACCCATGCCTCTTGCTTTCTTTTGTTGTGAGGTCAGAAAGTTCATCTTTACACATACTGAGGCTATGGAGAAAAACAATCCAATCTGATAAACAGCTGTACGTATGTCTAGATCTTTCAGTGATTGTCCCTGATGATAAATGGGATTCTTAAATCTTATTTCTTGGGGTTTTTTTAGTGACAGATAGGATATCTCTAAAGCAGGGGTAAAATAAAGGTGGGGTTTGAACATGTTTTGTTCTTTTTCTCTTCTCCCTCCCACCTCTTGCTCTCACCAGCTCTTGATAACTCTCATTTTAATTACAGGAGCATTAATCTAGGACAGCCCAGTGAATACCAGGTCCTCCAAACCTAGCAGAGAGTTAGACAGGTTTTACACTGTACACCCATCTACATTGCTGTCAACTTTCTATTTTAATGACCAGTTGACCTGGTAAACTACGAGGATATCCTGATACCCAATCTCCTTTCTCTTAAAAGTAAAGTGCTTCTCATTTCACACTTCTTCAAAGCTTTAACTTCTTTGACTTTTGCACAGTAAAGCAGAAGCTCTAAAATAACCTACTTCAAATTCCCCCCAAAGATATGTGAACGTCAAAGCTGCTCCTCATTTGAATGACCCTTGTCTCCGTTGGTCTTTACTACTCCCTCACCAGAATCAGGTCTCAGTTGTGCTAGATACTCTGTTGGGTGTAAGGGGAACTCAGCACTGTGATTGCACCAGGGACTAAGTTTAGGGGTTTGGTGGCTGAGAATTTATTGTTATGGTCTGGAGAGTGACACACCTACTTCTCACAGCAGTATTTACATTAACAGATCTTTTAGACTATGCTACTAAAATGTTTGGTGTACAAGGACTTCTTTTTCCTCTTCAGAAGAAAGCATAAACAAAGTGGCTTTAGTACTAGATGAAAAACGAGCTTTGCTTAATGATTTTAAGGGAATCTTTTCTTGCCATTGTTTATTCACCTTTAGTGCACTTAACTCAACACACTGCCCTGAAGGAGATGCTTTAGTATTTTGTGGTAGGGTGAAGAGTTTAGGTTTTCCACTGTGAAGTGGAAATAAAATAGAGAAGCTACACACTTAAGAGCGCGTATTTGTTGCCTTCTCATTTGTAGTCTTTCCTTCTCACTGGTACCACATCAAGTACCACACCAGCTACCACATCAAGCTAAAGTCCTACAAGATCATCTGTGAGGACTAACTCCTTGCCAACCAGCGAGGCTGCTTGTAAGCACAGGTTACTGGCATAAATCAACTAGGGCCATATAGTCTAAATGCACAGAAGTCTAGCAATTGGGAATTGTGCTTTCCACAGAAGGTTCAACTCTTTTTTTTTTGTTTGGTTTTTTTTTTCCCCTGTAATCTTTTTTTTGGTTTGGTTTTTTTTTTTCCCTGTAGATACTTTTGTAGGATGAGCATAACCTTACGTAAAGGAAGATGTCAGGGATGTAAAGGAAAAGTATATAATGGCTACTCTTGGTACCATTGCAAAGCGACTTTACTTTGTTTCTTATTTGTTACATGCTTCAGTAACAGGCACTTAACAGGTTCTTCTAAATTTGGGAAAATACCAGCAGTGTGGAGATACTAATTCCAAGCCCCGTTGTTACACTCCAATTTCTTCATTTCACAAGAAAACCCCCATGATTTGGTCCTTATCCGTAAGGACCCAGGAAGCAAAAAACCTTTACTTTTTTGGTCTGTTCTTTTCGAATGCAGGCACCAGAGCCTTTTTGATTTTTCGGTCTCTTCACCGGCCTTTCTTCCACTTTGTCTCCCCTTCACTTTGCTGCCGTTGACCCTCCCCACCCTGCCCTCCCAGTGCCCACCCTTCCCGCTCCTCCAGCCCGCACTTCTCCTCACCCGCGGCAATGCTGCCCGGGCAGGAAGCGGCCTCAGCCTTCCTCCGGCAAAACCCAAAACTAACTGGCAGACAAAACGGGCGAAGCCGCACTGGACGGAGGAGCAAGGTCTGTTGCAATCTCCGGCCTTCCTTTTCACTCCTCGGGTTTTGAGTGAGGGTGACATCTCCGTAACTGCCGTGACCCGTCCCACCGCTCTCGCCCCTGACGCCTGAGGCGGCCTGAGGCGGCCTGAGGCAGCCTGTTGCCCCACAGGGCCCTGCAATGCTGCCCGGGCAGGAAGCGGCCTCAGCCTTCCTCCGGCAAAACCCAAAACTAACTGGCAGACAAAACGGGCGAAGTCGCACTGGACGGAGGAGCAAGGTCTGTTGCAATCTCCGGCCTTCCTTTTCACTCCTCGAGTTTTGAGTGAGGGTGACATCTGCGTAACTGCCGTGACCCGTCCCACTGCTCTCGCCCCCGACGCCTGAGGCGGCCTGAGGCAGCCTGAGGCAGCCTATTGCCTCACAGGGCCCAGCAAAGGAGCACCTGGCATGGCGGCCTCTGGGCCAGGGGGCCAGGACAAGTTCCAAGAAGGCCAAGGGGATGGCAGAGCTCTGCAGCCGGGGAGGACAGGCAGCTCTGAGGGCAAGCTCTGGGTCCGGTGCTCCCTTGAGACTCAGGTACAACCCGGGGCTCTTCCTGAGGGAGGTGGTGTCAACACCGCAGAGCTTCTCTGTGGGAAGCTGTAGCCCTTTGCCTCTCACTCTCCACTGAATTTGAAACGTCTCCCTACACTCTAATTTTTCTGTTACTTATTTCTCCCTTCCACCTGCGCCAGACACCGGAATAGGCTGCCCGGGGACGTGGTTGAGTCGCCATCCCTGAATGTGTTTAAGAGTCGTTTAGATGAGGTGTTGGGGGATATGGTGTAGGTGAGAACTTTGTAGAGTAGGGCTGATGGTTGGCCTCGATGGTCCCAAGGGTCTTTTCCACCCTGAATGATGCTATGATTCTATACACAGGAGCCTGCCGCCCTCTCAAACCCACCTCAAGAACCCTGGCATTGAGCTTCTCTGAGGGGATGCACACTGTGCGTTAAGCCCTTCAGCGGGCTCGTTAGGAAAAAAAACCTAGTTTATTTAAAAACCTGGAGTGTGCAGGTCTGGAGCTCTCAATATAGGACAGATATGGACCTGGTGGAGCAGGTGCAGAGGAGGGCCACAAGGATGATCAGGGGGTTGGAGCACCTCTGCTACGAGGACAGGCTGAGGGAGCTGGGGTTGTTCAGCCTGGAGAAGAGGAGGCTCCTGGGAGACCTTAGAGCCCCTTCCAGTCCCTAAAGGGGCTCCAGGAGAGATGGGGAGGGACTCTTGATCAGGGAATGAAGCCATAGGATGAGGGAGAATGGTTTTAAACTGAAAGAGGGGAGATTTAGCTTAGATCTCAGGAAGAAATTCCTGTGAGGGTGGTGAACAGGTTGCCCAGAGAAGCTGTGGCTGCCCCATCCCTGGAGGGGTTTCAAGGCCAGGCTGGATGGGGCTTTGAGCAACCTGGTCTGGTGGGAGGTGTCCCCGTCCATGGCAGGGGGTTGGAACTCGATGATTTTTAAGGTCCCTTCCAACCCAAACCATTCTATGATTCTCTGAGATGGTAGCAGCAAGAACCAGCAGCTCCCACCCTGTCAGCTCCCCTCGGGGTGCCCGACGCCCCCCGAATGCCACCATTTCTCGCGAGGACACCCCCCCCCCACGCCCCTCCGCCGCCCCCGGGGTTGGGCGGGGGCCGCCATTTCGCGGCCCCTCCTGCCCCGCGACCGCCCCTCACCCGAGCGCCTCCAGCTCCTCGTCCAGCGGCGCGGTGGGACGCTTCTCCCGGCGTTGGGTCATCGTCCCGCCGGCGGACGAGGGCTGCCCGCCGCCTCGGCGGGCCGCTGAGGAAGTGGGCGGGCGGAGCGGCACCTCCCCGGGCGTTGTCGTCCCTCTTGGCCGCCGCGGAGTTCCCCGGCCCGGGGAGGCCCGCCCCGGCAGCGACGGCGGGGAAGTGGCCCCTTCCCCCGGGCTTTTCGGGGTCTCTCCGGACCCGTCAGCGGGACCTGACCCCCCTCTAGTGTGGCCAGCTGTGCCGGCAATGGCTTTAAGCTGGAGGGGAGCAGACGTAGATTGGAGATTAGGAGAAAGTTCTTTACTGTGAGGGTGGTGGAGCACTGGAACAGGTTGCCCAGGGAGGTGGTTGAGACCCCATCCCTGGAGATACTCAAGGAGAGGCTCGACGAAGCCCTGGGCAACCTGGTCTAGTTGGGGGTGTCCCTGCTGACTGCGGGGAGGTCGGACTAGATGACCTTTGGAGGTCCCTTCCAGCCTGGACAATTCTATGATTATCTTATTCCTCTCACTTTATTACCGAATGACCTGGACAATTCTATGATTCTATGATTATCTTATTCCTCTCACTTCATTACCGAATCCAGCAGCAAGAACCAGCAGCTCCCACCCTGTCAGCTCCCCTCGGGGTGCCCGACGCCCCCCGAATGCCACCATTTCTCGCGAGGACACCCCCCCCCCACGCCCCTCCGCCGCCCCCGGGGTTGGGCGGGGGCCGCCATTTCGCGGCCCCTCCTGCCCCGCGGCCGCCCCTCACCCGAGCGCCTCCAGCTCCTCGTCCAGCGGCGCGGTGGGACGCTTCTCCCGGCGTTGGGTCATCGTCCCGCCGGAGGACGAGGGCTGCCCGCCGCCGCCGCCTCGGCGGGCCGCTGAGGAAGTGGGCGGGCGGAGCGGCACCTCCCCGGGCGTTGTCGTCCCTCTTGGCCGCCGCGGAGTTCCCCGGCCCGGGGAGGCCCGCCCCGGCCGCCACGGCGGGGAAGCGGACCCTTCCCCCGGGCTTTTCGGGGTCTCTCCGGCCCCGTCAGCGGGACCTGACCCCCCTCTAGGGTGGCCAGCTGTGCCCGGTGTGCGCCATGCCCCTGTCCCATGCGAGAAATATTTCCAGAATAATCTGCACATTCCAGAAATTCGTGTTCTGAAGTGTTTCGTGTGCATTCATTTTTCTCTTGCAGTGGGTGCCCCTCGCCTCTGCTGTGTCCACCAGGGAAATTGGTGGAGGTTTCTGGGTGTTGCCCGGTGCTGGTCCTTCCGAAGGCTCAATCTGCTGCGTCCTAGAGGGGTTTTGGGTTCCCCAATACTTCATGGGCAGTGATTCAGTAATTAGTATAGGCCTCAGTATAAGTACAGGTCAAAGTACTGGTATAGGTCGGAGTATAGGTCTGGCAAATTCTTTACCAAACTTTTTTTTGACAAAAAGGCAGGACTGTAATGTAAAAAGGAAATAAATGGCAGAATGGTGTTTTCCAGTCACACACACTGAAGTTTTCACCTGCTATCCAGTACTGGAAATGAGTTGGTTCCAGATGAGCTAATATTTAAAGAGGCCAGAACAGCTATTATTTTCTCATAAGCAATCATAACGAACAGCACGCTCAGTGTGGAGCTAAGGCTCATTTGGCACAGGCTCATTAAAAGCCTGCTGCTCCTGATGGTTTTGGGGAATGAATTTTGGTAGAGCTTTTCTAGCCTTCCGAATGGGAAAAGCTTCACAGGGTTTCCGTATGTCAGATCAGACTGTCCTGCTGTTTGAACTTCTAATTGTGCTTTCCCTGCCTGCAAGGTGCTCTCCTCCTGTACGTGACTGCTCATCTCGAGAAATATTTCCAGAATAATCTGCACATTCCAGAAATTCGTGTTCTGAAGTGTTTCGTGTGCATTCATTTTTCTCTTGCAGTGGGTGCCCCTCGCCTCTGCTGTGTCCACCAGGGAAATTGGTGGAGGTTTCTGGGTGTTGCCCGGTGCTGGTCCTTCCGAAGGCTCAATCTGCTGCGTCCTAGAGGGGTTTTGGGTTCCCCAATACTTCATGGGCAGTGATTCAGTAATTAGTATAGGCCTCAGTATAAGTACAGGTCAAAGTACTGGTATAGGTCGGAGTATAGGTCTGGCAAATTCTTTACCAAACTTTTTTTTGACAAAAAGGCAGGACTGTAATGTAAAAAGGAAATAAATGGCAGAATGGTGTTTTCCAGTCACACACACTGAAGTTTTCACCTGCTATCCAGTACTGGAAATGAGTTGGTTCCAGATGAGCTGATATTTAAAGAGGCCAGAACAGCTATTATTTTCTCATAAGCAATCATAATGAACAGCACGCTCAGTGTGGAGCTAAGGCTCATTTGGCACAGGCTCATTAAAAGCCTGCTGCTCCTGATGGTTTTGGGGAATGAATTTTGGTAGAGCTTTTCTAGCCTTCCGAATGGGAAAAGCTTCACAGGGTTTCCGTATGTCAGATCAGACTGTCCTGCTGTTTGAACTTCTAATTGTGCTTTCCCTGCCTGCAAGGTGCTCTCCTCCTGTATATGAATGCTCATCTCAGCAGCCAAGCATTCAGATACAGATTTCACAAATCAGCTGTTGGGTTTTTTCCTTATTAGGAAAAACTATTTGTTTTATTTTATTTTTCATTAGAAAGAAAAATATCTTCTTTCTGAGTTTGTCCCTTTCTCTGCTGCTTGTTCAAAGCTTGTGATCTGATGCTGTCTTTGGTAACCTGATCTTGAAATTTACAACCTTTGGTTAAATAGCTGCTTTTGACATCTCCACGGTTTACTTACATTTGCTGGATAGGTTTATTTATTACTGTTCTCCTGTTCCACAAGCTGCTTTGTTTGTTTTCAGCAGTGTTGAACCCAGGTTATCTTGTTTATCTGTGTTATTGAAAGACACAGAAAAGCAGTTACCAAAATTTCTGGATTACAGAGGAAAAAGCAGAGAAAGAAAAATTAAGTAAATTCCAGACAACAGAGACAGAACTAAATTTTAGTGGATTCTAATTATATCACAAGTTGTCTTAAAAGTTCAGCATCACGGGCTCAAAGGTGATTTCCAGCCCTTCTGCACCACCAGTGTGTTGTGGTGGGAGAGGGTTCCCATCTGGGAGCAGATGCTTCCTCTTACTCTGCACCTGAGAGTGCCACATTTCCTTTTTGTTTGCAGAAAAAAAAAAGTAAAAGCAGCAATCATACTCTCGTGCAGCACAGATCAACCTTCCTCAGATGAAGTCAGCTTGATTTTGTTTTTTTAATATATGTTGGCCGCTGGACTGAAAGGCGACAGATTGCCAGCTTGCGTTTCCCAAAAGCCAAAATGCTTTAGTGTCAGGGTTTTGGTCTTTTTCCCAAGCGTGAGCATCTCTGTCTCAGGACTTGGTTTGAGCACTGCACGGAGCAGACCTGTAGATAGCAGCAGTGCTCTAGTGCTTGCTGCTCAGCCCGGAGCGCTGCCCAGCACAAAGCACCCTGAAACAAACAGCAGAATAAGGTGCCTTTTTCAAAAATCAGTGGGTAGTTTGGTTTTCTTCTCATCTCCTCACATCCGTCAGTCATCACAAAGCAAATTTAATTTAAAAAAAAAACCAAACTTGAAATCTTGCTTGAGTAACTGCCTCATGTCATTAAAGAAAAAAAAACAAACCCAACAAACCCCCACCAAAACCCAGACACCAAACTCTATTGTTTTAACTTCAGATCATGATTAAACAGAAGGAAAACTATGACAAGCAAAATGGGAAGGGGAAGGCCAATAATTATGTAATTATCTCTTGTCTTTTGTGTCACACTAGGCTATTGCAGAATCCCATAATTACCAGCAGAATTTAAATTCCAGTAAGTGCTTTTCTTTGCAGCAGTGGGCTCTCAGCCTAACAGGTGCTTTCTTTTAGCACGGTGCATTTGGAGATGATGTGCTTGTGTCTGTGCAGAAACTGAGGAATCGCTAGGTGAGGGTATATCGTGTGTGTCCTGCAAGCAGTCAGGTCTCAGTATCATAGAATCATGTTATGGTTTGGGTTGGAAGGGACCACGGAGATCATCTAATTCCAAACCCCCTGCCCTGGGCAGGGACACCTCCCACCAGACCAGGTTGCTTAAAGCCCCATCCGGCCTGGCCTTGAACCCCTCCAGGGATGGGGCAGCCACAGCTTCTCTGGGCAACCTGCTCCAGTGTCCCACCACCCTCACAATAAAAAAATTCTTCCTGAGATCTAGTCTAAATTTCCCCTCTTTCAGTTTAAAATCATTGCCCCACGTCCTATCGCTACACTCCCTCATAAAGAATCCCTCCCCATCTCTCCTGTAGCCCCCTTTAGGCTGCTATATGGTCTCCCGGAGCCTTCTCTTCTCCAGGCTGAACAACCCCAGCTCTCTCAGCCTGTCTTCATAGGGATAATCTTCATGGCCCTCCTCTGGACTCATTCTAACTGGTCCATGTCCTTTTCATTTTTTCAGATAGGTGTAATTTTGTACTTGAGTTTCACGATATATTAATGTAATAGAGGAGAATTTGGCTTAAGTACCCATGCAACTAATGAAGCTGGTAAAGAGACACGATTGCTGTAGAAGTGTAATTAGGTAACTCCAGTCTCTTGGCAGGAAGGAATTGAAACTTAAATTTCTTTCCTTTTACCATTTCATCTTGCCTTCTAATAATCTGAATAGATTACAGATAGCTGTGAACCGCCCAAACAAACTCTAAAGGGAGTGGTTTCACCCCAATGAACTTGAAAGGAATGGAAGTATCACAAAGCCATCGTTAACACTGTTGGAAAGGAATGGAAATACCACAAATCCATCGTTAACGCTGTTGGGATGGGAGCTGGAGCTCATTGCAGGTTTGGAGCTGTGGGATGGGGTTTGTCATGGCAGGCACAAGGTGACTGCAGGTGTGCTGTGATGGAGAGCCCTCCCTCGGCAGCTCCTGCAGCTTCACTCTGTGGTGAGCTGGAAAGGTCTGTCTCCCCTAGAGCTTACCTGCAGAGCGCAGGTTTCCTGTACGACACAGAACTGCCAATTAATTTGTTCCTTTTAAATTAATTGCATCTGGCAATTTTGCAGGGTCCAAAATGTCTAATCCCTATTGCATTTGGGTGTGATCCCAGGGGGTACCGTGAAACCCACTACAGAAATCCTTCTGCACTAATATCAACTTCTGCAATTAACCTGATTCTACCCTTCTGAACGTGTCACAGATTGTCTTGGACTGTTTATTGCGAATGACTTTTTGTTGGAAAACACTTGACATACTGGATATCAGCATAGTGATAAGTTTTCTTTCCAGATTTTGAGGCGCCTGAGGCATGTTTATTTAACGTGTTCCAAATTTCCATGGTCAACACATTTTCAAAACATGCCATCTAACCCTACGTTGTCTGCAATCTATTTAGACAGATTGACCAGACTTGGATTAGGACCACGTCTCCACCTAGCTATGGCAAGAGATGCAACAGCCATGTCCTGCCAAGCCTTTGTAGTTTTCAGCCAAGTAGGATGGGAACAGCCATGTCACGTGTGGATATGACTACCTATGGGATCCCAGAGATATTTATTTAGTAATTCAGCTTTTTTAAGTCTCTTAACTCTGTCCTTAGTGAAGGAAACTCACATTCCTCGTACTCTTAAAGATGTGACTTTTGGGACCAAATAGAGTGAGCATTTCTAATCCCGTAACACTTTATCCTCTTGTTTGTTCAGCTCTAGGAAATTCAGCTACCCCTTTAGGGGTAATTAAAGGAGGATTTTTTCCTGGTTGTGAATTTAAATAGGGACATGGAAATCGGTACAGGAAGCCTCCTTTGGTGCTTTTTATTTTTTTCTAGTCCTTGCTTGCTTGCTGTGTACATAACCAAGAGCTGGGGCATGTATATTTTGAGATG